CACTGACAGAGTTGCGGTCGTTCTTAGGCCTAGCTAATTACCATAGGAAGTTCGTTAGGAACTTATCCACCATCGCTGCACCCCTTCGCAGGTTACTAAAGAAAGAGGCAATCTGGAAGTGGGACAAGGACTGTATAGCTGCCCTGAAAAGATTAAAGCGGGCCTTGATAGAATACCCAGTCCTTAAGGTAGCTGATCCGTCCCTGCCTTTCGTTGTTACCACTGACGCTGGTCAGTATGGCATAGGTGTTGTTTTACAGCAAGACGATGGCGATGGACATAGGCCCGTAGCGTTCATGTCCGCCAGGATGCCTTCAGAGAAGGTGGCGACGTCCACCTATGAGAGGGAACTCGGCGCTCTCAGGCAAGCATATTAGATCACTGGAAGCACTACTTGCTTCGGAGGCACTTCAAAGTCTATTAAGACCACGAGACTCTACAGGGGTTGAAAACGCAAGCCAAGATGACACCTAAGCTTACTAGGTGGGCCGCTGAATTAGATCAGTATGACTTTGAACTTAAGCCAGTTAGAGGGAAGTACAATGTAGTGGCGGACGCTCTGAGTAGGAGAGCTGATTACTTTGGGGCAATAGTTCACTATCTGGATATAGGGAGAGACCTACAACAGAAAGTTAGAGAGGCATATGCGCAGGACCCTATCTATAGTGACCTCCGCAAGAGAGTGAGGGAGGCCCAAGAGTGCGAACCAGACTACCGCACTACTGATGGCTTATTATTCGAAAAGACTAATGTAGTTGACCGCCTGTGCGTTCCCAACAGTGACGAGATCCGTAGTTTGATCTTAGGGGAATGCCATGATATAGAGGGACACTTTGGTTGGCAAAAGACACTAGCCAACCTCATGCGCAACATCTGGCCTGGTATGAAGGCCGACTGCATAGAGTATGTTCGTAGTTGTAAAGTCTGTCAGCGAAACAAGACTACTACGCGATCCCCTCTTGGCGTTCTCAGACCCTTGCCTATTCCTGACAGACTCGAAGATTTTGTGTCCATCAACTTTATGGCTACTCAGGTCAAGAGTAGGCATGGCAAAAGTCACGTCGTGGTCATAGTAGATAGATTTAGCAAGTATGCAGTTTTTGTTCCTTTGCCTGCAGACGCACGCACAGACTTAGTAGTTCAAAAGTTTTTTGACCATTGGGTCAGTAAGCATGGTATACCGCTGTCGATAGTTAGTGATAGGGATACCAGATTCACTAGTCTGAACTGGCAGCAGCTGATGAAAGTTTATGGCTGAAAGTTGCTGATTTCATCTGGTCGTCATGCTGAGACCAACGGCTAGACTGAACAAATGAACAAGCTCTTGCAGCAAGTTCTCAGAATGTACACTAGGCCCGATCAGATCAACTGGGATGAGACGTTCCCAAAGGAAGTCCGTGCCTACAATAATAGCGTGCACTTATCTACGTGTCGCACTCCCAATGAATTGCACAAGTCCTTCAGACCACGCAGACCATTCGAGGGATTTAACCGGGATCAGATTCAGAGGCTACCGCCCGGTACACGAGAGTTTGTGATACAACACGAGAAAGAGATAGCTACCGTTGTTGATAACCTCAGGAAAGCCCAACACAGAATGACAGAGCAAGCTAACAAGCATCGTCACCCCTCACAGTTTCAAGTAGGCGACTTAGTTTGGGTCAAGTCAAAAGAGTTTGCTCCTGAGGAGAACATCCCACAGAAGTTGTTACCTGCATATAGAGGACCGTGGCCCGTCCTAGAAGTATTGAGATCCCAACACACCTCCACACCTACCCAGTGTTATGATCCCTCCGGATATGGATGGAAGATATGACATTAAAGGGATAGCAGGTGAGGATGTCTTCACGATAGGAGGTAGAGGTCGTCCCGAGAAGCAATACAAAGTCAGATTTGCCTATCAAGAGCCAGAAGACGACCGCTGGTTCACGTGAACATAACTTCTAGAGACAGCTCCCGATATAGTCCGAGCTTACGAAAGAGATAAGAAGGGTAAAGGTCCTGCCTTAGACTGAAGTATTTTCGGAGGACCTCGAATTTAGGCCGGCGGGAGTGAAACGGTTTTCACCTTTCTGCAGTCACAGATCCGGGCCCTAGAGTTCGATCCCCGGATCTCACTTTGCCCATGTTATCGAGTTGACACCCGAGTGCTTGAACCCGTGACTTGTGTTTTGGTAGTTGTTTGTCGCCTCTCGTAGGTATGTGTAGTGGTAGGGGTTCGGTTTGTAGGTATGTCGATTAGGAGTTACAACTTTGTAGAGGTCGTAGCTCTAGGTATTATGAAAGGTCAAGGTCGTAGCTGCTACAGTCCTGAAAGGTCAAGATCGTAACTGCTACAGCACCCGAAAGGCCAAGTCCACAGATTTTCGGAAGTTCCGGAAGTGGCCTTTCGAAGTGTCTCACGTTAGTCAGCGGCAAGTGGGCAAGTGGTGAGCCCAACTGCGTTACGTCGGCAGTGCAAACCCATGCAGTCAGCGGTACCGGTCCCAGCCAGTCAGAGTCCGGTCAAGCAAGTACTGTGTCGGACTGCGTGCACCAAGGGTCTGGGAAAGGGGAAGCCCAACGAGTTACAAAAGTATAAATCAAGAGCCAGCGCCCAACCATTCATTCATAGTTGTGTAAGCCATGCGGAAGCGCTGCTAAGCATCTTGTGCGAAGGTGGTCTGCAGGTTGCCCGAAAACGAAGTGGGCTGAAGAGAGATAACGTAGACATAGTTAGTAGAAGTAGAGCGGCCATAGCCGCTGTAGTGTTAGAGGTTAGTGAGTGTGTACGAGTGAGTGTGTGTGGGTGTGTATTCAGGGTGATCCAGAGTTGAGTGCGGGTGAACGGTGGTGTTGAACACAATGACGAGAGTTGTGATGTACAGGCGCTGATGCGCCAAAGTCTGTTGAAGCAAGTTTGCATCTGAACTGTGTTCTTGGTTGCCATATCTCTGAGCTTGGTGTGGGCGTTGTGCGCCAGTGTGAAACGCCATCTGTTTGCATGTATGTGAAGTGGAAGTGAACGCGAGTCTGATTGCAGGGCGATCTGCTGAACTTCTACAACGACAGTTGGCTTAAGGGGGGACTGGGAAATCTACTGAGTAGTAGCGTTGTCACATTGGTGTACAAAAAAGGAGAGAAAGAATATATCAGGAACTATAGACCCATTTCGTTGCTAACTCTTCCCTATAAGATCCTAGCCAAAGCGATGGCCTTGCGAATCCTAGAATTGATAGACGAATGTTTCCATATAGACCAAACGGGCTTCATCCCTGGAAGGTACATCTTGGACAACGTACTGACCTTCAACGAAGCGGCCAACAAAGTTAGAAAAAAAAGGATAAACACAACAATTCTTTTCTTCGATTTTGGAAAGGCCTACGACCAGGTCAACTGGGCCTTTCTTAATGCAAGCATGGAAAAGATGGGAGTAGGCCCGAATTTTAGGAAGGGAGTGCGTATTTTGTACAATGACGCCATAGGATGCGTCCAAGTCAATGGCTTGCTATGTGACTGCTACCCTATTTCTCGGTCAGTTTGCCAAGCAGACCCACTAGCCCCCCCCAATCTTCCTCTTCGTGATGGAAGCGATAGCCTCATTCCTACGGAAAGATCCTTCCATACCAAGCTGCCAGAGGTCAATGTAGGAACAGCCCACCACCTACAGTTCCCGATAGTAATAATGTTTGCAGATGACCTCACGGTGTCGGAGGGCGCGGTGTCCTGACCCTCCTTCGTGTGCCAGGTTTCTGCTCAGGACTAGTACCCTCCCAACCTTTGCTGCTTGTTAGGCTTGTTTCGAATCCCTACAGGTTTGGTACCTAAGTTACACCTCGGCGTGGGCAAGTCCAGTTGGTCGTTTGCCTCTGCAAAAGGGTGCGCACAGGACTTTCCATTGGTCCACGCAGGCTCGACGCCGTGCTGTACAGCAGAGCACTACCGGCCTGTAGTCGTGGTAGCCGCCGGGCTCGCCTTGGGACGCGAAGGTAGAGGGAAGGGTGCGGCCTTTTCTACTGCGCGTCGAGTGTCCCTCTGCCAGGTTATGGGTTAGGTGCACGAAACAGGTCGCTGTCAGAAAGGAAAGGCTGAGCGAAAGGAAATAAAAGAAAGTAAAAGTGTAAAAGTGAAAGAAGGCCGAGCGTCAGATCAGCACGCGGATCAGGGCCCTTGCTTTAATTCGGAATAATCTAGCAACAGTTGGTCACTTGATCGTTGAAGTTTTCCTTTTCCTCTACTATCATTGTTATTATTATTATTATTACTATCTAGCTGGTTTCTCGGGCGCGTTTTTCCTTTTGGTCTCTGTCACTTGGTAGGGGAGGCCGACGGTTTAATTTTTGGATAACTATTACTGTCTGACGGCCTAGGCTGGCCCGACCCCTCGTAAGTCGCCTGTGCCAGATCTGCCTGACTGAGCTCCGCGCGGGAGGACATCAAAAGAGGGGCAACCCGCGGCCGCATTGGTAGGAGGTTTATCACCCTCCGTGGAGGGTCATAAGCCCCCTCCTTGCCATCGGACACGGGCACCCAATAGGAGCAGGCCAACTGCGGGTTTTAAAGGAGGGCGGCCGCAGCCGATATCTCGTTATGGGACCAATGTTGAATCTGCAGTCCTATCACTGGGGTCTGGGACTGACTGTGGCGCGAGGTTTAGTTTGTGCTCGACGTTTGGGTTCTGGACTCGGACGCCCCGTAATCTACTTAGTTAAAATTATTGCATTATAATAGACTTTTAAAATTCTTGAATCTAAAAGATTTCAAAAGGACTAATTTGAGTCCTTCACTCAGAACACAGGGGTCGCGATATGGAGAGAGCCTATAAAAGAGAAAAGAGGTTGGCTATCTGGGAGCAAACTGTGGGTGTTCGCGGGTTATCTCGTTTCTTGATGCCTCTAGTCTGGTGCCAGAGGGCAGAGTGGCGAGGGCTAGCTTGAGCCATTCGAGTGCGTGCGCTTGGGAACGAGCCCTGGCTATTCTGAGTGGCTATGGCGGACTGAAATGGCTTGCGCGGTTAACAGGGCGAGACATATGAAGTATTCCTGGATGTGGGAGCGAGAGGACGAGAAGGGCACTGTAGTGGAAACCATACTGACCTACGGTAAGCCTGAAGGGGAGGTGAGGTTAAAAATTAACGTGTGCGGCCGTATGGAGCAGAAGATGAGGAGTGACGAAGGACTGCAGGCCGCGATTACTGAGGCGCGCAACAGGTCTCAGCTCAGGTGCAGACGTGACGGGGTGACTGCAGGGATGAGGGTGACCGTCACTTACCATGAGGATGATTCCTCAACTGGGACCATGACCAGGGAAGTACAGCGTGGCGAACGGGACTTAGAGGGGGAGTCCGAGATGAGTGACCGAGAGGCGGATGTCCAGTCCTAGCATGGGCTGGACCAGGGAAGTACAGCATGGGGAACGGGACTCAGAGGGGGAGTCCGAGACCCGAGAGGCGGATGTCCAGTCCTGGCATGGGCTGGACCAGATTCGTCAAAACCACCCGTTGGCAGGCCCAGTAGAGCGCGGGCCCGAAGCGAGCTCACGACCGCAAGGGGACTGAGGCTGAGACGGGAGCAGTAGGGATGCGACCGAGAGCGGGAGAGAGCGAGAGGAGTCCCTTAGAGGTCAACACGTGTGAGCGAGTGTGAGCTAGTTGCAGAAAAGGGAAGGTCGCGAATAGGTGAGAGGGAGATACTACTCGTTGACGTCACCTTCATCTCCGTTGGAGCGACAAAATCGTCATCCTCGCGTGACTAAGGCTGCTATCCTGGGAGGCATCGCCTCGTGAGAGTTGCTGCTGACGAAGACAATTCTTGACGAACTTGATCCGAGCTTGATCAAGGCAAGGCAAGCTTCTTGCCAGTCCTGGCACGGACGGGACCAGTGGCGACGGAACCACCCGCCTGTGAAATCAGTGGAGAGTGGCCCAGAGCCCAACTCGAGGCGGCGAAGAGACGGGAGCCGCTAGACGTGAGACAGAAGGTCAAAGCGCGTTAAGGCAGTTACGAGGGGGAGATCACCCGCAGGCAGGACGAGTGGAAGAAAGCCCTGGGGCTAGCTCGAGTCGAGAGGCAAACAGACCATAGCGACGTCAAGTGGGATTGTGAAAGGTGTGCCACAAGAAGGAGATCCTCACTTCTCTAGTCATGGCGAGAACATAAATGTGTACATGTCTTCTCTGGCTAAGCACGCGGTCTTCAATATGAGCCTGGTCAGGAGATGAGTCTCTTCTTGAGTTCCTTACAGTCGTGCGGGACTGGGCTGATGAGTTGCCAGCTGTTACGAAGGCGGAAAGAGAAACGAGTAAAAAGGGAAGACAGAGAGAACAGGATCAGACACAGGAGAGAGAACGGGACTCTCCTCATTACTTGTTGACGTCATGTGTCTGACTAGTGCCGTGTGCCGAGGGGTTCCATTCAATCACTGTCAGTTGACGCTAGTTAGTAAGTGGCAGTAAGTGGCTGATGGGACATTGGGTTACTCCCTTCCCTGGCAGAGGTGCATGTGGCAAAGAGACCAGGGAGACTAAGCAGTTTGATCAAGAACGGGGAAGGGGTGCGACGACAAACTCTGGTTCTGCCTTGCTGACGTCCCGGATAGTGTTCGCAGTCACCACACGTCTTATGTTTTTGTAGTCGGGACATGCATGCTCGTCTAAGGGCTCGTTTCGACCATTGCCTCTTCGAGTGAACTAACGGGGAGTTTTCCCTGTTTCATGGACCCCGTGCGACCAACTTGTGATCGAGGGAACACTATCGTCCATTGCTTACGACGATACGAAGTAAGAGTAGACTGATAGAAGCGCGGTAAGCGATTGTGTGCGCAGAGCTATTGACGTTTCTTCCAGATTGCTACTTGTATCCCTGACCTTGCTACTCGAGTTGCTCTGGATTGAAGAGGAAAGATGGATAAACTGTATAAAGGCTAATGAAGAGGGGAGTCTTAACTTGCAGCCTGCGAAATGGGTGGGGAGGCGATCTTGGTTGTTGGTAACTCTTTTCAGATGAGCGAGAGAGAGGCATGCCCTGATGTTCTGTTGTCTGTTTCCCCTCTGTTGCGCTTACCAATTGTTCAATCGTTCTTAGAAGTAATAATAAGACCTCCTCATTTGGATCGATGATCGGCATTTACCTTTTGAGTCGGTAAGGTTAGGATCCAACTACTGTCCTGTTGCTCCAAGATGCGCAATTGAATTATGAAGTCTGTAAATTGATCTGGAAAGCCTTTACATCTCTTGTGTTCGTGATCGGTCACTGAGGTCGCTCCTAATTACTAGGGAAGTACCGGGCAGTGACTCGCTCCGGTAAAATCACACAGGTTTATTAAAGCTTTTGGTTAATGAAGAAAGGAGGCGAAGAAGTTATTTAAAGGTTCTATTAACCATCACTCCTATGTGGTGGCAAAAGTAGAGGTAGGTCGACGTATACTTGAGTCCTATCCACTAGCTCAAGCAGTTTCAAAGGAAATCTTGGATCGTAAGTCTTTTGTGAGAACTCGCGGAAAATTGAGTGTTCCCTTCATGATTGGTCTTCTTGCTTGTGAGCTTGAACTTGAGTTACAACTAATTTTGGTTATTGTATTAGATGATCTCTTTGACTCCTTTCCACACGGAAGGATATGAGGTGACGCGCTTGAACCAAGTGATAACGTTGGGAGATTTGTATAAGAAAGAGGAGGTTGAGCTACACCTCCGCTGTTTTACTAACTAGGTTCTACGCGCACAGAGTATACGGCTGGAAGACCTATGAAACTCTGTAGCTGAGAGACTAGGCTTCGGCGCTACGAGTCGGTGTGTGTTCGTACGATTACATAAATGTGCGACCGAACAAGTTTGCAGGTATTCTGGCAAGAGGTCACGTAGGCCTGCAGATTCTAACATGAGAGAATGAGTAATCATGCTAGTGTGTTAGTGCCCAAGCGACTATGACAATTATAGATACCCGCGTGAGTGTGATCGTGTAAAGGCTGCTATACCACTCCGATCTGTAGACTCTTATCTAAAGATTGCGAAGTCACGCACAGTTCAGTGAAATAAACAGTCAAGTTTAGTTCACCACTTTAGCTGGCTTTGGGCTCAAGGAGATCAGCCACTCGCGGATGCTGAGTCTTTGTGATGAGCCACAGAGGAAAGAAAAGACAGTTGAAAATAATTGCTTATTTGATCGCTAAGTTCCTACTCGATGGAGATTAACACAGGTAATTAGTGCTTTGAGTACAGGTGGGGGACTGGCTAATCGGCTCAGGGTGGTGACATACTATCTACTATGTGATGATTTTGTTTCTGATAGACTAGTCAAGAAGGAAAACCTTTTATATTCTCTACTTTACCTTGAAAGTGAAGAGTCATAAGGCTCGGTGGGGGGGCTGTGTTAAATAATTTGTCTTCACTCAAATAAGTCTTCCTACCTGAGAATCTCAGAAGAACCCAAAAGAACGGGACGAGGGGTGAATTTTGCAGGTGCCCAGAGGTTTACTCCATACCGATGGTGCTACCCTGACCTGACTTTGATCCGGGGAAGTTGGGCAGAAAGTGAGAGTCAGGGAAACGATGCAGCATCCGATTAATTACCCACGGGGAGGGATCACTATCAGCTTGGTCGGATGTTTTGTTAAGCAGAGACTTTCGCTGGCTGTCGTGAAAATTCAGACCAGGAAGATCTCTGTATTCGATAGCCTCTCCAGTCGGGCAATAAGATAAAAATTGTTGCGCGCGTTCTTCACTGAGCTGCTAGGCGTGCCATGTGGGTGGGCTATGCCTGTGTCACTAGTAGGCCGGCGGTTGTCGTACCGTCATGTATAAGCCATGTGAGAAAAACGATACACCACGTCTCTAGGCGCAAGCAATTATAACAGTCGTCTCTCCTTACCGTGCTTCATCAAGCCAGGGCATAGGAAACAGAGAAAGGAGAGAGAATCATGGGGGACTCCGAGAGATAATGGTGATGAGATACGGGGCTTGTAAAGAAAAGGTGGAAGGGTGGGAAGAGGATACCATTACAAATGCCCTACACTATGTGAAGGTAATGAGAAACCAGGCACTGGAAACGGTGAGGGAGCAAACATTCATCGAGTATGTTGTCTATTTCTACGGAAGTGATGGAAAACTGCACAGCACGCTTTCCTCCGTGGAGATTGTTAATGAAGCACGAGAGGCCATCAATAACTAATAATAAGGGAGGAAAGAGAGGAATACTTAATAAATATTGGTGTGATATTACTAGAATGAACTGACTTGGTGGGAGTCACGTAGCAACACTTAGGGGCCAGTCGTGAAAGAAAGCTCCCTGTCAGAAATCTCAGCAACACTCAGTTCTCAGACAACAACTTTCAACAGCATTCGGTTTCAAGCAGTTTCCAAATCAGCAATCAATCAGTTTCAAGATCAGCAATCAATCAGTTTCCATATCAGCAATCAATCAGTTTCCAGATCAGCAATTAGTCAGTTTTCGGTTCCCAACCGAGCATCCAGTCGGTTTGAGTAAAACTTCATCCAATCAAGTAACTTTCACTCAACACTCGACTCAAACTCAACCGACATTGAATCGTTTGAAGTGCATGCAATTTTCAGTCTGAACCAAACAACTTTCAGAGAGAACGTTGAGCCATCGGGGTCTGACTAGCAAAACAGGCAATCCAAAATACATCGTTCAGTGGAGTCGGGTGAGCCGAGGGAATTATTGGAAACTAGCAATAAAATCATTCACCACATGAGTACAGTACAGTCGCTCTCTGTCCCTGAGGCTGTTCTCTCTAGCCTCAATCAAGTCGCTTCTACGGACTCTTTCCGGTATCAGTATGTCAGTGCAGTTCGCTTCAGGCAAGAAGAGTTGTCTGTTTTTGTGGTTCACACTGTGTTCGCTGGAGGAACCATTCATGACTTGAGACCCTATGTGAGGAAGGGGAAAGAGAACCATGAGGACCTTGACTCAGTGTGGATTGCAGCAACTAAGTACCTTGAGGAGAGGGAAAGAGAGTTAGACGAGAGTGGTACCAAGCTGATCCGCAGCTGTGGACCCAAGCTCTATGCCGACTATCCCAAACCTCCAATACCTCTTACTCTGACAGATGGCTCTCACTGTGGTGACCTGATTGACCTCGCCAAGAGGTACATCTCTCCAGCCACGATCGACTATGAGGCAATCACAAAGTCATCTGAGTTCCCGCATCTCAGACGAGGGATTTTCTCTCAGCCGTATCTTCCTACACTATGGGAGGAGTTTTGTGCCATGGTTGACTTTCGTATCATGGGACTTGGATGGAAGTGCTCGGAACTAGCAAGCTTCAGGTGGCTCTACATTTAGAGGCCATAGACTCAGAAAGTACGGGGACATGGCTCGAGGCACAGGAAACGCACAACAAAATGAGACTGAGAGTGTGACCCAGAGGGATGAGTGAGGACTCGAGATCTGTGCTAGCCATGCTCTTTTCCATATGTACTCTCTGAGACTATTATGAGTTCTCATTTTTCCCTCATCTGACTTTGTCTTGCTCGAGTCAGTTAGTCTTGCTCCTTTGCATTGCCATGCTGGATGATTGCATTCTTTAATGATTCTGTCACAGTTCTCAAAATCAGATTGACACAATTGATGCATGCACAGCATTCCAGAATTTTATGATTATTATTTGCATAACTCTTTACGGTTCCGAATCAAAATAAAAGATTCCTAAGACCGGGGACCGGTGAAGACCGCGATTGAAGAGTCTCGCTCGAAGCCGGACGCACACAACAGGAAGGGATTTGCATTATTTAATTTATTGCAATCAACATTAAAATCCTGCGTGGCAGCATGTTGGTTTTTCGGTCGCCTGAAGTGGCTCGACTGGAAAAAGTGCGACAAAAATGGCGTCGTTGCCTGGGACATGAAAACTTTTCGTGGTCGGAACGAGCCTGGGTCAGCAAACAACTTTGATCTTTGATTAGGCCTTGATAACTGTTGACAATTTTTGAATTTCCAGGCTGAATTTTCAATTTTCCTTGAGTCATTATTCTGGTGGAAAAAACAATTGCTAACTAAGTCTTGTCTTTCCTTGCGTGAGGTACCACGCTGGATTGGAGAGGGAGATTGATATTGCTGACAGGAGAGAATCAGGCTTGATCTCAGGTATGCCTCTTGAGCCTATGATGTCCTTGGAACATTAAGAAGGGAAAGAAAAAATCAAGAGCTTGAAGACTTCATCAAGAATGTTAATTTCTGATGCATTGAAAGAACTCTCGAAAGTAACTATCAAAGGAATATTCCCCTATCAGTATGAGCATTGCTGGGTGTACCGTTCTGGCAATTCGGCCATCAGTGTAGTGCTGGCTCGCTTCTTGGAGGGAGATATCTATGATATCCGTCCTTATGTCAAGAAGGGAGACTGCGACGATGATGAGGCCTTCAACTGGTTATGGGGAATTGCAATCCAGTCTCTTTATGATGAGAAGGCCGATTTAATCAAGCAAAAGAAGAAAGTGGAGTGGGGTTTAATGCCTGTGACATATGAGATTGTTCCGATCCCTCCTATTCCGGACAGCTAATGTGATGGAACTAATTGGCTACCAATCATCAGCATGGTACTGACGTGGGAGAAAAGAACTGGTGGTCATGAGAACTAAAGAAATTTCAGCAGATGAAATCAGACAGAGAAGGTCGGAATTTGGCAGAGGTTTAGGACCAAGTCAAGAGAGGGTTGAGTGCATTCTAAAATCCTTGAATACACTTAAGTAAAAAAGAGGTGTTCCTATATGAGGCTGTCAGATATGAGATGGTCGAGAGCGGATGGGAGCATGAAAGATTCTATGTACTGATATTTTACTTCACGGATCTGGACATGTATGATGTGAGGCTTTATGTCCCAAAAGAAAGGAGTGCTGATGCAGTATATGGGAGATGCTGGGGATTTGCTGAAGAGGTTGTGCTGAAAGAGAAAGAGAGGCTTGAGAGGGAAAACAAATGCTTCACTGGATCTACTCGATTTACTGTCTTTGAGGGATTTCCAGCTCCTCCCTTACCTGATATCAATCCATGGAGAGACAATTGGTTTGCCATGATAAATTTTGCATGGAAAGTGAAGAGAGCCCAAGAAGAATTCTCTCAGTAACCAGGATAACTACTGTGAGGGGCAAACTTTATGAAATGACAGGGTATGGTAATCCCTTTGTAATTTTGAGGCATGAGATTTGTGGGAAAAAACATATAATATTTCATATTCCTGTGGTTAAATTCCTGATGTGAGGGTTTACTCCCCTGCCTGTCTAGAGGAGGAAGTTGACTACTTGGAGTATTTAAAAGGGGCGTACGTCAGTCTTGAGCGGACAAAAGAATGGCTAGAGAAGCTAAGAAGGAAAGTAACATGGGGAGTGGGAGTACGAGAATTTGAAAGGCTCCCTGAGTTCTCAATTGCTGAGGGATTCAAAGATAGAAAAGATTGGATGCCTTTGCTGGAGGCTATTGCTGAGATTGGTAGAGCGAGGGAGAAAAAACTTTACGGTGATGATAAAATCCCTGCTTTTGAGTACCTTTGAGCATAGGTTCGAAATCCCTGATTATGTTAAACCTGAGATCTACCTTTCAGATATTGCCTATGATGTTTAGCAATGCCCAGCTTGGCTGAACAACTGACATTTGATGTTGTGTTGGAAGGGAGAATACTCAAGGTAGAAGAGACTCTTTGGATCTCTGACAGAAACCTTTCTACCTTGGATGAGTTCCACGGAAACCATGTAACCTATGAATTGGAGTTTTTGCAACCTTTCTTTGATCAAATGAGAGATTCTGTCCTGAGAATTGTCGCTGATCAGACTGAGATAAACTACTTATTAAAGGTGGTGAGAGTGGGAACTGTTGAGAGAATATCATATCATTCCTCTAGAGAACGAGTCTCTCTTGCCAGAAGAATCAGCAGCGGGTTGTAAGCAATGCAATTTGATTATGAGATTATAGACCTGACTCGATATTTTATGATTCGGGGTACTGCAAAAGGGTATAACAGAAGATTGAGTAGGGATGATGAAAGAGAGTTGATTGAAGATTACATTGGAAGGCTGAGAGGAATTGCATTGCCCTTGATCACTACCCAATCTATTATTGCTTATACTCTCTATGTACAAAATTCTCAAGGGGTAGAGCAAACAAGAGAAGAGAGGAACGAGCCTGTATCCCTTGCGAGAAGAGTGAGAAACTAAAGTGAAGAGAAGAGACTAAGAGTGGTAAGGAAATAAGAGATGAGCGTTAAGAAAAATTTATGGTCAAGATGGTTCGTCGTGCGAGACCTAGCTCGTCTGCAGGGACCAATGAAGAGGCCTTGGTTGGGGTTATACGGAAACTGGTCAAGAGAGTCGACACAATCAAAGGAGGATCATATATCGCAAGAGCAAAAAGGTCAGATGAGAGAATTTCATGTTTCAGAGGGCCTCAAGTAAATGATTTCCTGGCGAGTATGAATTATTTAGACTCAGCTATGGCTGGACAGACAAGCAACGACTTAAGCACCTTCTATCTTACAGTGACACTGGCTCGAGGTTGGCCGTTCAAGAGTTGATGGAAGGGGCCACTACATGGGAAGAGGTCAAAGAGAAAATGAAAAAGGAGTTTGAGAAAGACTCAGTTCCAACTACAACCAATGATTTACTCAACATCAGAAGAGCTAAGTATGACACTTTCAATGTTTTTCTTCAGACCTTCATCCGAACAACAAGAAGAATCCCATATTTGGATGAAGCCCAGAGATGTCATATATTTTTGACAAATTTTACTGACACGGAAATGCAGGCAGTCGTCAATCAAGCTCAACACTATCCTCTCAGATGGAATGAAATGGTTGCAATTGTTAGAAATCTACCTACAGTTTCTCATATGAAATGGTCACTGGATCAGATCAGTACATTGGCCAAGAACTGGGAGACTGAGAATGGTATGAACAGAGGGAACAATCTGAGTGCTGAAAATATTATTCAAAGAGTGATGGCTAACTATATGCCTGCGATGCCTGCAAACCATGTTGTGGATGACAGAGGAAAGAAGAAAGCTGAAAGTGAGGATGATGATGATGATGATGATGATGATGATGATGACGAGGGTTATGGTAAGAAGGGAGACTCCTCTAGATCCAGAAAGAATGAAGGGAATGGTGACAGAGGAAACAGAGAAAGAAGGAAGTATGATGACCATCCTAAGAAGAGTTTTGTCTGCTATTATTGTGGCGAAGGGGGTCACACTACCACCTATTGCAGACCTCTTAAGGAGGATGTAAGAAGTGGGGCGACAAAAAAGGATGCAATGGGTCATGTCTGTGATAGTTCATGGAACAAGTTGGACCCCAGACATCCAGGAGGTATGAGACTTTTTGCTCTTAAACATGTTGAAAAGATGAAGAAAAAGAAGAAGAGAAAGGGTAATGTGAATGTTCATTTTCTTATTGATGAGTTGCCTGATGAACTAGTACAGGAAACAAGTGACCCTCATACCACGATTGAGCTGTCTCTGCAATCCTTAACATTGATAGAGGGTGTGTTTGACGAGGCTTCTACAAGTGAGCCTCCATTAGAAGGGAATTTTGCTTCTCAGAATCCTTCTGAATTAGTAGAATCTCCTTCTAATGAAACGGTTCTCAGAACCCTTCTGAATTAGTAGAATCTCCTTCTAATGAAACGGCTCGCTTTCTGGCCAACATGATAATTTCATGGTGATTTACCTCCAGAACTCGTCATGGAACCCAGTGTCGTGCTTGGTGAAGTGAGAAACCTTCGAGCACGCTTGACGCCTCAAATGATAGAGGAAAATGAAAGAAGGAAGGTTGAGGAATCCCTGATTAATATTCTTGATGATCCAGAACCAGAACTTCCCTATAAGAAGAATGAACAAGGAAGAAATAGTAAATTATTCTCAAGAGTGATCTGAAAGATGGGACAGTGATTACTGACGTAATTACTAAAATGTTGGAAGAGACTGAAGCGACCTTGTTCTTCAAAGAAGCAATGACTCTAGCACCCAAGTTGAGAGAAGAACTGAAAAAGTTGATTGAGAAGAAGAAACTGGAAGTTAATTACTTGGGATCAATCTTTCCCAGTCCGGTGAACAGATTATTGCCAGGTTGTAAGATGAGATTCGCAACCATGGGATGTGGACACCTGACCATTTATATTAACCAAGTGAAGATTCGAGCCTTAGTGGACTCTGGAGCAGAGTTGATACTTCTTTCTCGAAGAACCATGGAGGTTTGTGACTTATCTATTGATAGACCTGCACAAAACATACTGAGTAATATTGCAGGAGAACTTTTTGTGGCCGAATTTATTGACAATCTGCCTATCAGAGTTGGGACCATGTCAGTGGAATTACTGGGTTTTGTAGTGCCAGAGTTGGACCATGATTGTATCTTGGGCACTCCATTCTTGCATAGAATGGAGGCAGTCTTGTTGTTCAGTCATGAGGGATCATCCTGGATCGGCCTACAAGATCCGGGGACGGCTCAGGAACAGACCTTTATGGTCTGCACAAAGAATGATTTTAAGCATCGATTGTCTGCTAATTCAATCAGAAAAGAAGAGTCTACTGAAAGGATTAGGAGACTAAGCGAAAAAGGCAAACAAGAGGTTAAAGAAAAAATTTCAGTGGGTATTAATCAAGTTTTGAAAATGATAAAGGCCCTTGGTAATCTCAAAGATGAAGATGGACAAATTGAGGCATTTAAGAAGGTTGTAGAGACTGCTAAGGGAGGGAGGATGAAATTAAAATTTGCATCGACTCATCCTTTTTTAGGAAAATAGCCACTGGGTCAAAGAGAAAATACAAGCCCAAGGGGGTGAAGAAAAACCCGGTGGCAGTCCTAATAGAAAAGGATTATGATGAAGCATTGAAAAACGCGAGGGAAATTATTAAAGCATTAAGAAAATCTGCAAAATTGGGGAATAGGGTCACCAAAGGGAGATTTGACACAATGAAGATAGGCTCGGATCAGTTTATCCTGCCTAAATAGAAAGAATATATCTTCAAAATGTGTCAGGAGTTCTCTGATGCGTTCTCCTTTAATGATGAAGAGAGAGGGCGGTTGGACGAGTATATGATCAAGATGGTCAAAATTTGGACAGTTGATCATGTCCCATGGAATGATAGGCCGACCAAGTATTCCCTGAAAGAAGAAGCAGAGGTTGTAAAATATCTTGACAAGAAGATTGCTTCTAACGTTGCTGAACCTGCTGATGGACCGTATGCTAACTAGTGGTTTTGCTTTTGAAAACCAGGGGGTTGATTGAGATGGATACAGAATCTTCAAAAGCTCAACTCTACGACGGTACATGATGCAGGTAGTCTTCCTAATGTTGGTCTCCGCTCTGAATCTTTTGCTAGTCGATGCATTTATTCCCTAGTTGATTTATATTCTTGCTATGATCAGTTTCCCATTTATCCCACTAGTCGGCCAATGACTGCCATGCACACACCAAAAGGGTTCATTCAGACCAGCCCCTATATTGATGACAATTGACCCCTGGTACGGGATGAGACTTTGGTCGCAGGCGGAGTCAGGAAGTTTGTCTAGGAACACGCTGAAGGAGTGAAGATGGTCCTAGAGAGACTTCAGAAATATAACCTGACTGTCAGTGGACCGAAGTCCCTTCTCTTTCAGCCAGAAGTAGTCATCTTGGGTTTCAGATTTTTCTTCAAGGGTAGGAGTCCTGACCCCAAAAAGATAAACAAGATCTTAAATTGGCCTCTGCCACCCAAGAGAGTGACAGACGTCAGAAGCTTCTTGGGTGTCTGTGGATTCCGGAGGATGTATATTCCTCATTTTGCTACCCTTGCAGAACCTCTGAGGGAGATGGTAAGGCAATGGGCTAATTTAGCATGGAATGAAAAAAGGCAAGCCGCTGCAGAAACTCTGCAGGAGAAATTAAAAGATGGGGGTGTAGTGCTGGGGGTGCCTTTCATCATTGAGGCTGATGGAGGACCAGTTGCTCTGGGTGGTGTGCTCATTCAGAAAGATGAAAATGGGAAAGAAAGGCCTCTGAGATTTGAGAGCAGGACTCTTAACTCTACAGAGAGAGGTTATACCCAATTCAGAAAAGAGCTGCTGGCAATCATCCATAGCCTCAGGTGCTTGAGGCACTATGTACTAGGGAGGAAATTCATATTGAGGACCGATGCATCTGCTGTGATTGGTGCCATAAAGAAGCACCAGCAAATAGATCCAACAGTCAGCAGGTGAATTGCCTTTATTTGGATTTTTGATTTTAAGTTGGAAAAAATTCCTACTGAGAAGAACATAGCAGATAGTCTCAGTCGGATTGAATGGAGAAAAGATGAAGAAAAAAATATTGAAGGAACGATTGAAGAATTTGCCTATGTTGATAATTTTCTGAATGAAAAGGATGATGAAGATTATGAAGTACCACGCTCCTATAAGTGGAGTTTATGGCCTGAAGAGAGAGACAACTTGGGAGAGATTCCTAATGCCTATGTTTATGAGTCGATTCTTGGGAAAGAAGAAGAGGATGAGCCCAATGATTGATATGCTAGAGTTAACACAGCAGTTGTGGCTGCTCATGAAATGGGGGAAAACTCGTTCAAAGGAAGAAGAAGAAGGTGAAAAGGAGGAGGAAGAGATATTTTTCATTTCTGAAGAATACGACGAAAGTCATCAAGAGATTGGTAAGAAGATGGAAAGAGAACAGCTAAAGGAATATTATTGTAAAAATTCAAGGAAGAAGTTCAGATTAAAAAAAGAACATCTCTTTGTGGATGGTAAGGGAGGACTACCTCCACTAAGAATGGTCTGTGGTAAAGAGAGACAATTAAAGGTAATTGTTGCTCTACATGAGGGGGTTGCAGGTGACCACAGAGCTGTTGAGGCAACCTACTTTAAGACTTTCAAGCTCTACTTCTGGCCTGGCATGAGAGACATGATTTTCAGAATTTGTAAATCATGTGTGTTATGTCAGAAGAGGTATGCTACAAGAATGATTGAACCTTTATTCCCTACTATTCTGGTGGAGCCAGAGAGACGAGTTCATTTAGATCTCATCACCATGCCATTGGGCAAAGGCGGGATGAAATATATATTGAACATGAGATATAATTTCTCTGGATATATTGAGACAAAAGCTCTGAAAAGGAAGACAGCCGAGCAAGTGGCTGACTGGATAGAGGAAGTCTATCTCAGGTATCCTTTTATCAGAGAGTTTGTCTCAGACAGAAGACCAGAGTTCAAAAATGAGATTGTAAGAAGAACCACTCTCAGATTGGGTGTCAGAATCCGATATGTGACTACTTACCATCCTCAAGCGAATGCGCCAGTCGAGAGAGGTCACAAGACCTTGAAAAATTCATTGGCTAAGTGGTGTGAAGGAAATCTCAGTAATTGGCCAAAAGTATTAAGAGTTGCTGTCTATGCTGACAACATAACAGTCAAGAGGACTACTGGCTATGCTCCATTTACTCTGTGGTATGGCCGATATGCTACATTGCCTATTGAGAACATAGTCAAGACATGGACAAGTCAAGAAAGTGACAGAGACTATTATATTTAAGAGCTCCTTCAAATCAGAATGAGACAAATATTAGAGGTCGATCAGGCAGTGATGGATGTTGCAGAGAGAATGGCATCCAGGAGATTATTAGATCAAGAGAGATGGAACAAGAAAAAATAAATTGAAGGTTGGTGATGTGGTTGTTCTATTCGACAGTTCGCTTGAGACTCAATGGACTAAGCGGTTGAAGCCCAGATGGTTTGGTCCTTACAGAATCACAGGAGAAGCAGAAGGCAAAGTTTATGAGATTTCATAGATGGATGGATCCAGGGTTCATGACATGGTATCAGGGTCAAGACTCCGGCTACAGTCAATCCATGAGTGTCAAGTCCCTGAGTAGGGAAATAACTGTGAGATACAGTTTTCGTGAGTATTGACGCAGTGTCAAAAGATCTGAGGAACTCATGGTTGTGGTACATCAGAGGATCTAATCAGTATTATTCTTATGATAAAGAGAAAAGCATGACGGGCAATAAAAAAATTCAGTTCTGTCTGATTGAGAGTTGTCAGCAGAAGAACTTCGTGTCTTTGACTAAGTCGTCCATCCAAGAGATTCAGA